TCGCCGGACGCAAAAAAGCCACATTAAAAAGACCAATTAGAACTGAATTGAGCAACGAGAAAACCAAAAATAGGTTCCAAGAACAACTGAGTTCACACTTAAGTAGTTCTGAACACGAGGCTGACCCAGATGTTGCTTGGAAAGACATACAAGCAGCTGTGGAAGCAGCAGTGACATCCATTAGCAACTTAAACCACAGAGTTTCAAAGAACCAGTGGATTTCTTCAAAGTCTATCACACTGATGGATTCTCGCAAATTTGTCCCATCAGGTTCCGAACATGGTGAAGAGCGACAACAAATCAGATCTAGGTTAAGAAAAAGTTTAAGAAACGACCGTGAGCAGTGGTGGGCAACGAAAGCAAAAGAGATGGAAAAGGCGGCGACTATAGGGAACACAAGACAACTTTACAGACTAATAAAAGAAACTGGAATTGATAAGTCAAGTGTAAGTGAGATTATATCGGAAAAAGACGATACTCTCATCTATTCCCAGTCCAGACGTTTAGAACGATGGGCGGAACACTTTAGGGAACAGTTCAGCTGGCCTTCAGCGACTCTACAACTACCCTCCATTCCCAGACAGCGTGAATGGAACATTGAAGTAGGTCCCCCAACTCTTGCTGAAGTTCAAAAGGCTATAGATAATCTGAAACGAGGAAGGGCAGCTGGACCAGATGGACTGGTTCCAGAAGTCTTTAAAGATGGTGGTCCAATTTTAGCGATTAGGATGACTAATATTTTAGCTAAGATCTGGGAGTTAGACGTTATTCCATCTGACTGGTCACAATCACTTATCGTCCCAATATATAAGAAAGGGTCAAAATCATCCTGTGACAACCACAGAGGGATTAGTTTAACTAATATAATATCTAAAATACTAGCCTCGATAATTATCAGACGCCTAACTAAGACTCGTGAACTGCAAACACGAGAAAACCAAGCTGGTTTCAGACCTGGTCGTGGCTGCATCGACCACATATTCACCATTCGTCAGGTTCTAGAACACAGGCACACTTATCGGCGTCCGACGATGGTGGTCTTTCTTGACTTAAAAGCAGCATTTGACTCGGTAGATCGCGAGGTTCTGTGGCAGTGTCTGTCATTGAAAGGCGTACCTCAGAAGTACATAAACCTTGTGAAGGCTCTTTACTCGAACACTACTAGTCGAGTGAGAGCTTATGGCGAACTGTCATCTACTTTTGCAACCTCAAGTGGTGTCCGTCAAGGATGTCCACTTTCCCCATTTTTGTTTAACTTCATCATAGACCTACTGATGGAAATAACTTTCTCGTCGACTGAGTTCTCGGGTATTGATCTCCTTCCAGGAGGTCCACTTATCGACTTAGAATACGCAGATGACATAGTCCTGTTTGGTGAAGACGCTGACAAAATGCAGAGTCTTTTGGTAGCACTGAGCAACAATGCCAGAATGTTTGGAATGCGCTTCTCTCCCTCGAAATGCAAGTTGTTGCTTCAGGACTGGTCTGCGTTAACACCTGAACTAAGGATAGGGAGTGAAGTAGTCGAACGCGTTGACAACTTCACTTATCTTGGAAGTCTGATCAGCCATAATGGGTTGGTATCGGACGAAATCTCAGCACGGATTCGAAAAGCTCGTTTGGCTTTTGCCAACTTACGTCACCTGTGGCGAAGGCGAGATATCCGTCTATCAATAAAAGGACGAGTATACTGCGCGGCAGTCCGTTCTGTTTTACTTTACGGTAGCGAAACATGGCCATTAAGAGTAGAAGACACTCGCAAGCTGCTAGTATTTGACCACAGATGCCTTAGAAATATTGCTGGCGTCTGCTGGGATAATCGGGTAAGTAATAGTGAGGTTAGACGCAGGGTATTAGGAAAGGATGGTAAATCAGTTGATGAGGTTATGAATCTTCATCGACTGAGATGGTTGGGCCACGTGTTACGTATGCCTGAACACCGATTACCACGACGTGCAATGCTATCCGATGTTGGGGATGGTTGGAAGAAAGTTAGGGGCGGCCAAACCAAAACGTGGCATCAGTGCTTGAAGTCACTAACTTCTAGTCTGAGCCATGTTGGTAGATGCAGACTACTTGGTTGGGGTCCGCGTGACTATCGTAACCAATGGTTGGAGACTCTTGGTGACATGGCTCAGAATCGATCACAATGGCGTCGGTGTATACACTCGGTTTCTTCCCTTAAACTAAGAGATTAAAAGCGCTTCATATCTTTCTTTCTACTAACCAATTCTTTCTTCTTGTACTATATCTCTATATGCAATCTTTCTCTTATATATTACCACCTTTTACCTAACCACTGTTATGAATCCGGTGTTCATCTTGTTGTGCTGATGCGGTATGGCAACCTGGACCGATGCACATAAGTGCATGGTTCTACGTTGTAGCTGACTGACTGACTGAGGTGTCTTTCCCTATCGCTTAGTTTACCTACTTGAGCATTAAAGTCACCGGCCATTATTACTACATCTGAGCGCCTAGCTTTTCGGAGAAGGTCGGAAAGCTTTCTGTATAACTCATCTTTTACATCATCTGCGCTGCAGTCAGTGGGAGAATAGGCAGAGACGACGAAGAGGCAACGACGAGTGTCCCTATCTTTTCGGATCCTTACTGTCCCGTTTAGTCGGACAGCGCACAAACGACTGTCTACTGGGATCCAGTCTAAGAGAGCTAGTTCTGCCCTAGGACTCAATGCTATGCCTACGCCGGCGAAGCCACGGGAAGCAGAATCAGGGCTTCCAGATACACAAAGTGTGACTCGAGTCGGTTCTTTATTTTGGCATGGTGAGGTCAAATGAATGACGCTACTCGGATCTTGTATGCGCGTTTCGGAGACGCAGCACACATCGATGGCGCGAGATTCTAAAGTCCTAGCTAAGGAAGCCTGCTGTCCTATTTGGCACAGTGTTCGGACGTTAAAAGCTCCTACGTGTAGTTTAGAGCGTGGTTTCAGGAGACCAGGAATAACGTTCCACGTACTCGAATCGTTTGCCCTAGCGGTGCGAGGTGATAAAGAGACGTGAGGAGGGTTAGTCATGGAGATAAGAGAGGTATTAGGAGGTGTAGGAAGGATTTGAATGGGACCAACGGGTATGAGGGCTGATATCATTTCCCGGCTGCCCACACCGTCGAAGGGTATTTCTTGAGGAACCTGAAAAGGAAATTGGATTAGTGTTGGTCTTGACGACCTGGGAGCGTGACCGCAGAGCCCAAGGGACAACTGCTTGAGGCCGGTTGCGCACGGCCCTTTTGTGGAAGGTTTTTAATGAGTTAGCTCCGTTCTTCAAAGAGCCTTACCGCCGGAGACGGAAATCCGTGAGGTAAGGTGAGGTATGCATTCTTAGGGTCGACCTTTTCTAACCCCACCCCTCCTTGTGGGAAGGCAGCATCGCTGTCATGCTGGTTGTCTGAGGGAAACACCTTACTGCTGTCACACCTCTCTACAGTCAGCAGTACGACTTCGCCCTCAGACCTTGAGTTGCTGGTGGATGAGCCAATTAGTTGAAAAATTCTTTAGTCGTTCTGTAAATTTTACGTTGTTTCCTTGTGCAGAAATCTGCACTTATCATCAGACTCCCGGGCGTCGGAGTAGACCGATGAGTTCTAAGTGACCTCCTCAAACAAAATACTTATAAACTTGACGTTTTTAGGTGCCTCAAGAGACGTGATCCGCCATTTTCATTACCTCATACCAGCGCAGTCATTATTCATTCACACTTTCCTTGAAATTAATTTTGTTGAAGATGTGTTTGCAACAGAAGCTGCAGCCAATTCAGTTACATTAATCTTTTTAGGACGATGAATTTATTGGTCATAAAAGCATAAGATAAGTTCGACTGCCTAACACTGATATCTTTTCTATTTCCTTAAGTATTCACTACTCGCGATCATTTACTTAGTCATTAAAAAACTAATTTTAATCCGCATCGTGAGAATGTTGAAGTGGGTCGGGTTTTATATAGTCCCAAATTAATAACTGTCATTGTCATTGTTTCTACAATGGGATGCATATTCTGTCAATCTAAACTAGTTCGAGAGTATAGTTCCTGCTTCAATGATTTTTCTTGAGCTTATTCCTTATCGTATGCACACTTAATGGTGTCATTTTTCAGTCGATCGTACAAACTTCCACATTTTGATTTGACTCAAGCAATAACAATTAATCGATTGATTAATCTACTCAATTGCAAGCAAGTAAAAATCACTGCATAATTGGAGTCCAAGAAAGTATTCAAGGAAAATCAGCCATCTTTCACTGACTTTGACCAAAAGTGATTGTGAGTAACATGACCTTTGTTCAGCGCTGGGTTGTTAATTGTCAGTAAATGATATGACGTCATTTCTTATGACTATTTTCGATGACCTGAAGTAAGTTGTTATCGATTCGAAATTAAAGGAAAGTTTCCGCATTGTCGGTTTATCAATACGGATATCCGGTTATAAAGTGGAAGGACATTAATCGTCAACTTATAAGTTGAAAGTAACTATGATTCTTTTAATGAAAACATTTTACTTCAGTAATCGTTTAATAATAAGATCCTAACTTCATAGATCTCGTATCGTTTCGTTTTACTGAGATGCCTCGGTAGATTGTGCTTCGAATAATTGAGACGATCAGAAAACATCATTAGGTTTAGTAGGTGTGTATTGATTTAGTTTTCCGGATTTCCCACTGACAAAAAACATCAAGTTTATGACTGACATGTCAAATGAATAACTGTCAACATAAGTAAAAGGTAAAAGAAAGATAAGGAAACGAGCGGAAACCGAATTAAGAATGTCAAACAAAGTTTCTGAGATGTGGGAGAAAGATAGATGATTGGATGAATGTTAATTTTTTCAGTCATAAATTACAGTTTCAATAATTGTTAAGTTTCGACTACTTCTGTTATTGTTTAGCCTAGTGTTTGAGCCTTATTCATGTAACTGGAGTGCTTATGGTTTGTTTGTGTAACTACTTATTACTTGAACTGGAATATTGCTCTCTTTCAAAACTCTAGATGCAAGTGATTTACTGGGTCCAGATGGTTTCAGTATCGATGCTGATTCCAAACGAATGCGACTCGCAAACAACGTTGATGGTCTGGACGAAAGTGTATTAGGTAGAGAGTCACAAGCTCGACTGAAATCCGCGGTACTTGATGATGAGGCGATAGCGCGTGATAAACGTGACTTAGCTGCTAAACTGGAGAGCTCTTTCGGCAACCGTTCCTCCAATTTTATTCAACCTGACCAAGTTAAATCAAGCACATTACCCGAAGCCGTCCCATTAGACAAAATTCAGGTAAAATATGTTTGTTTGTGAAGTTTTACCGTATATCCTGTGGTTTATATATATATATATATATATATATATATATATATATATATATATATATATATATATATATATATATATATAATGTCATATATTTCTCTTATTCCAGTCTTGGCGGGCTAAATTTCGTGCAATTCAACAACAAAGAATCAAGACAGGTGATACAGACCAGGCATTGGAAGTTGCTGTAACGAATTATTCTGGTCAGGAAGGGGATGTCGGTTTATCAACTCTATCATCATTGGATGCTCGAGATTCTCGGGTTGGCCTTCATAGTATTGTACCCGGAGGTGAATCTCAGTCCATTATCCGTATTGACGATAGTACTCATGGTCAGTTATATTCCGGTAGCACTTTACTCAGAGCTTCACTTATGGCGGATGAAGCACCAGTACGCGCAATTGTAGCTCGTGAGCGTCGTTGGCGGACTCGTGTTTCAGTTTTGCAAAGTCAAGGCAAAACATTCTACGAAAACATTGTTTTGGGGATTTTGCGGAATGTAATTGTGAGTTATCTTTCAACTAAAGTACGACGTTTTGCATCAATATTTGTGGCGAATTCGCGTTCGATGGAGTATTTGCACTTTTCAGTTTATTCCTTATTGGTTTACGTTGTTTAATATAATGTAGAAATAATATGATGCGATAAAAGTGGCGAGCATACCAGCAATTTTTAATTAAGGTATTAAAAAAGAGAATTAGAACAAATTCGTTAGTAGTATGATGGTTTTAAGCTCTATAGCAATAGTCGTATTTCACCTTCTAGAGTATATCCAATCATATATTGATTGACTGGAAATTTACTTAAAGACTGAATTATCGGTTTTGGGACTGGATACAGAACCAAGTACTCAAATGATCGGGAAGTTTTGATTGTATTGATCACAACGCATTTATGAGTTATTCAGGCGTAGTGCAAATTGAACTAGTTGTTGTTAGTCAATCTGGATTCATTCACATTTCAGAGAACATAAGTTGGCGAAAGGCGACGTTTGTCACTTTTGACGTAGGTGAGGTATCGTTCGGAGCAGCTACAGTCTCTACCTCACACAATTGCTGTGAAACAAAGCCCTTAAAGGTAAAGATGTTAGTTGGTTACCAGTATTTGATCATAAGTGTTTTCAAAACATTGTGTATTTTGGGACCACCGGGTGAATGATGTTGCCGTTAGGCATAAGGTACTAAGTAAAGATGGTAAATCTGTTGAATTAGTGAATATTCTTCAACTGAGATGGTTGAGACATGTATTACATCTACTCACGCACCACCCTTCGCGATGGATGATATTTACTGATGCAGGAGTAGGTTAGAAGAAAGGTAAAGGTTGTCAAACGTAACCATGTTAAGGTACTGCCTATACAGCTTAAGTATTTTGCGACACAACATCCAATGACTCCTTAGTTATCTTCACTCACTTAAATTACTTTTTATCTTTTAGGTGTTTCATCTCACTTTTATATTTCTTATAATTATAGTTAAAAGAAGACTCCCATGCCGCTCCCGATGCAAAAGCTGTTGGAAAGTTTGGTTTTATTTCTACTAATGCTCAGCCACCCCTTTTTCCCCAACCATTGGCTGTTGGGACTTACTATTCTAAACCTAATGGCACCACAAATTATACGAACACTGGATCAGCTATGGCACTAAGTACTGGGCAACATATGTCGGTCTCCAACTCCACTGTTCAACATCACTCACAGATGCATTATTCAAGATATGATCAAGAGCGTTTCGCTGGTGGTCGTGAGGAGACTGCTGGTTTTCGTATTGATACTATGGGTACATATCATGGAAAGGCTTTGGCATCAATGGTTTCTGTTGGTACACCTAGATCTAATCAAGACAATTCTGTTGCTAGTGCAAACGCTGTCTGTACTCCAGGAACTACTAGATCAATGGGAAATGAAACTCCGAGTATTCCTTATGAACCGCAACCACTTAGAGACCCTCGCGGTATCAGTTCTGGCATCCCATTGACACCCAGTACGACTCCTGATCCATGTAAGTATACATATGGAGAGAGAAATAGTATTTTATAATATCTACCGTTTCGTTTTTTTTCTCAATCAATTTGGATGTGTAGACTTTAAGCTTAATATCACCTTAGTTTCACCTAATAAAGGATCGGAAACTTTTATACTAATCCGAATTTTAAGTATCATGAAAGACAATGTTATTCTAAAATTAACTTATCTTTCTCGCTAATCCCAGTGATCTAGAGATTAGGTGTTCGCACGGGAAACCTAAGGTTCTGTCTACTGTTTTTAGATGCGGGGCCGAGGGTGCACATTACCGAGGAGTCCTATGCTCTGGCGAAACGACAGTCCATTGCTTTCAGGCTTTTAGTGGTTGTCTAACGTAAATTGGTTCGTGATCTCAATAAAATTTCAGTGAGATTCAAATGATTTTGTAATCAAAGTTAGTCCTTTCTTTTTTCCTAGGACCAAAAAATTTCACTTAAATAAATATCCTTCAAATATTATGCATTCAAAGTTTATGAAAATAATTCACTGTGTAATAGGTACTTCAAACAGAAATGGTTGTGTTCTTCTGATGTTTTGTGGTTAAAATTTTTAACCTCCACAATCTTTTTTACATGGGAGCCAACTGTAGCTGTTGAATTAACTTACCTTAGCTTTTGAGCAGCTATTTTTTCCGTTAGTAGTTTGATTGTACAATGTTATCTAACTGTATTTATTGATCATATATATTAATATATATGCACATTCAATTTTTACAGATCGTGGCTTACGTTCCACTGCTGATGCACGTCTTTCTGCTAGAACGAAAATGAGATCATCTCGTATCCCAATTATCATCATTCCTGCAGCACCAACCAGTTTGATTACAATGTATAATGCTAGGGATATTTTAGAGGTTAGTACACATTTTCCAATGTTTTCATTACAAATCATAAATTATTACTGCTTCCAGTAGATATTTCAATCGATCTGAATTTCAAACTAATGAAGCAAACATAGACAGTCCACCAAGATTTTCAAATAAGACTAGTTCATCACTTAAAAATGTGTTTGTCATGTTACTTATTTTTCCTATAACCAACACAATGACTGAAACATACAAACTCATGAAACAGTCAATCTGACGGATATCAAGCTTAAAAACATTTAATTTAGGGTTGTTATCTGGATTGTATTTCAATTATATCTAAAACATGGCCGGTAAGAGTAGAGGATATTCGTAGGTTACTAGTATTTGATTATAGGTGTCTTCGAAGTATTGCTCGTATATCCTGGGACCACCGAGTAAGTAACGCAGCTGTTAGGAAACGGGTACTAGGTAAGGATGGCAAATCAATTGATGAAGTAGTGAAACTTCATCAGTTGAGATGGCTGGGACACGTGTTACGTATGCCCAACCACCGACTACCTCGACGTGCTATACTCAGTGGTATAGGAGTAGGTTGGAAGAAAGCTAGGGGCGGCCAGACCAAAACATGGCACAAATCCATGAAGTCACTGACAAGTGGACTGAGTGATGTTGGTAGGTGTAAACTACCTGGTTGGGGACCGCGAAATGATAGCAACCGATGGTTAGAGACCCTGAATGACATGGCTCAAAATCGTTTGCAATGGCGCAGGTGCATCCACTCTCTATGTTCTCCCAAATTCTAATTATCTGAATTCTTCATATCCCTTTTTTTCCTCTTTCCAAATTTATTTCACTGAATTATACTCTTTAAATAACATCTCCAAACCCTAATCTTCCCGATTACTGCTTATACTCTTGCTACCTCTACCACTACGGGATTTGAATCGACCACTGCATCTCTGTGCTAATGTGGTATGGCAACTCGAACTGATGTACGTACGTACTAAGTTCTACGTTGTTACTGACTGACTGACTATATCTAAAACACCACAAATCTTAATTGCCAGTTATATATATAAAGCGAAAAAAAACAATATTTGCAGAATAACAGGTATTCATTCTATTTTAAGCCTTCTCACCAGTTGCGAACTCCCTGAGTTTACATTGGTAATATTATGATAAAAGCATTCTATTACGTATCGTAATCAATGACGTTTTGTTCGAAACGACATGAGATAGAAAAAAACAACATATTCAACATAATAGTTAAGATTGATTAGTATTTATGTGTTGAAGATAAAATTATAAAAAGAAAAGGGTGAAATTATAACCGATAACAAAAGAGATAATAAATAAAAACAAATTGTTGATTAATGGGTGATAACCAAAGTGCCTATTTGATATAAACTTCAAGTTTACATCATAAGTGAGTGTCAGTGGAATTTTTTAAATATATTTTGAAGTTTTAAATTACAATAAAGAGATAAAGTACTTAACATATGTGAAAATAATACAACTATTTTACCATAGCAATGAGAAGTCTACCACACTTCTATATACAATGGTCAGGTCGAAAGTGCTCGATGGCGATGGCCTTCGCTAAGCGGAGTAAAATTGGTGTTTGCTGCTTGTTAATTATTTTAAACGCTTTTGTGATATCCACATTGTATCCACTATCCATTAAATGTTTAGTGATTGCACTTGTGAATACTTTATTTCCTTTCAGACAACTTACGAGAAATATGTTCGGTAAACCTTTTAGATGTCCTTTCGGTAATTACTTCTATAAGTACATGTCAATTCGTAAATACTTTGGGAGGTGACTTCAGAAGGGTATTAATTCACTTTTGACTGGTTTAGGAAAGATCTGGCGTTATACACCGGCAATAGTTGAGTTTCAAGAAAGCTTCTCTTTAGCTCTGCTTAACCCTTTTTGGATCCTGCCTGAAATCTCACCCTTGAATTCAAAATGGATGAAGACATTTTTTCTTAAAATTGTGTCTTCGAGGCTCCCCGTAATCGTTTTTTTGTGTGTTTAATATAAATAAATTTCTTTTTATATCCAGTTTCGCAAGAAACTTCGATATATACTGTTTCTTCCTGTTTTTGTCGCTTGACACAGTCTGGCTCTATTAAGTATGGTTGTGACTAAACAGCTCTGCATATCTAGCAAACCTGAGGTAACCAGACTGAATCCTACCCCTGGCCTTGATGTATCGATCAAATACTCAATATTCGACAATTTCTGAAACACTAGAAGAAGATTCCAAACTAAATTTATTGTCTTTGATCTGAAGATGGTATTTGGTTTCGTCTACCAGTGAGGTTTTTTGTGTTACTGAAAGGTGTACCGAAGTATATGTACCTGCTGAAATCTTTTTTAATCGTATACATTTAATTGGTATTTTTATTATCGAGGTAGTGCGATTAACTGGTGATTTCCTGGTAACAATTATAATTTTATGTTTAATCTTTTTTCCCCAGGATTTACGGTTCATTAAATCCCAAGAGAAACAAGCATCTGGTATGCGTCGGGAAAACGAGATACTTATTCAGCGTCATAAATCTGATGGTCGAACAGTGCCTTATCGTGTGGTTGATCAACCAAACAAATTACTCTTAGATGAATGGAATCGTGTTGTAGCTGTTTTTGTCCAAGGTCAAGCTTGGCAATTTAAAGGTTGGCCAATCAGCTCCGATCCAGCAGTAATTTTTTCTCAAAGTAAGAATTTTAATGTTGATCTGTCTAAATTTACATTGGTAGTTTCATTCATTTTTACAGGAGCTCTTATACTGATTTTACTTGTCGTATCAATAAAATAAAAGGTAATGAGCGGATTACTGTGTCAAGTATTAAACTTCCTCTATTTTAATGTAAGTTTTTTCTCTATGATCACTAAGCTTATCTGCCTAACTATTGAAACTTTAAGCATGAATCCCTTTAGATCGATTCCGCGGTCTACTGATTCTTGCATAATTTATTTGAGATTCGATCTCGCTTTGTACTATAGTAATTAACTGTCGGGTCATCAATTTTCGTTTCATTCTGTCCGTAAACTTACTACAAGTTAACTGTGAACTAAATGTTACAGATCAGAAAGTTCTTAATATCCCATATTCCTTCAATATTCAAATTATTCACTTAAGTAAACATTTGTTACTGTACAAACAAGCTATTTACACTACATTTATGCCTTTTACATTCTCTCCTCATACTTTTATCATATGAAATATTCTTGCCCTTTAGTTTCCAACAGTACTGGAATCTAACGCAGCTTCAATGACCAATAGTTTGTTAACAATGGTCAATCTATAAATACAATTTTTACTAGGAAGAAATTAAGTATATATTGGTGTTAAACATGGTTTTCATTCATTAGACTTTGATATCCAACTGTATTAATTCTATGTAGTAACTGTTCAGTTTGTCAATTTCATCATTGATTAAAGTCTGTATGTAATGGAATGAATTCATATTTGTACTAATCTAGGATTTCCTATCGATGATAGCTCTAGAGAAGCTTGGACTTTTGTTTCTAGTTAGTGGGCAAGGAAAACGAGAGTAGGATACAGTCTCGTTCACTAATAGTGAAATCGGAGTTAAAAATTATTCTCTAAGCGCACAGACGTATCGTAGTGATTTGTTGCAGGAACCTGTTATACTTTTTGCGTTATTAGTTGTTAGAGTATCATGTTGCTTACTATTGCCGAACTAAATTGGACATCTCCGATTGTATAAAATCTTGAATCAGGGATCTAATCCTAAAGTAATCACATGTCACTTTCACCATACTACTATATTACTATTACAAGTTTTGCAGTCGGGTGTTGATTGATTCTTATCTTGTAATGTTTTTTCCTGTTTTCTAAAGTCAAAGGTTTTCATTTGAAGTACACTAATATGCCATTGGATCCGAATGTAGCCAAATGGAATGTACGTGTTATTGATCTGGATCAAAGGAGACATCTAGACAAGGCAAATTTTCAACAAATTTGGGACCAATTAGATAAGCATATTGCTAGAAATAAGCCATTTTTACGGTCTTAGGAAAATAAATGAAAATTACCCTTTTGTACAAAAGAAATTCATTTGTTTTATTATTTTTTATTTGAATTGTAAAATAAATTGTGCATAGTGATGTTAACAAACGATTTTTTAAACTGCACACTTTTTGTCGATATTTTCTCGAAAAAAAGACAATTTTCTCAAGACCGTACGCTATTGCAGGCTCTGTCTAATGTATGGTTGTAAGAATAGTGGTTGGAAATCGATTATGTGAACAATAGGTAAAAAGTATGTTAGGTTACTGGTTCCATTTGAGCATCATTCTTATTGTCGGAAAAAAAGTGTTTGAATGCTTTGATTTTTTAAATTAGTCATTTCTGTAACTTGAAACTAACTACAAGTCCCTTCAAAATATAAATAGTTATTGTTCAAAACTAACAAATTGATTGTTCAATCACTATGATCTCACTGAATGTATGTAAGAATCATCGTGGTACGGGTCTGTTTCACCACTTGTTGTCGTCTCGTTATGTTCATTAACTGGGCCCAACAAGCAGCTGATTTTTAAGTTACTACGTTTCCTTCAGGCCATGATTATTTCGATGACGTTTTAACTTGTCATATACTACAACAGTCACGTTACTGCAGACTAACATTGTATTGCCTGACAATAGACATAACGGCACTAGATTATTCTGTTAGAGAAGGATTTCTCCAGTATTTTTGTTTACAGCTGAGGATTCCTATACAAAACACTTCGAGAAGACTAATGACCTACAGCTACTCTCCAAAGCGCGAAACCAACATTAGGTTTGTGTAAGCTTGATTTATCTCTATATTCTACATTGAGATTATTAGCACCTTTTAAATGCTTATTGGTAGTGTAGATCTGTTAAACTAAGAAAAACGCTTCGGCTTTAAATATTCATACCATCTTACAGTATGATGACATATAGAATACTCAAACAGGACTGAATGAGTTAACGACCAGCTTTCCTGAGTAGAGTATGTCTTTTGTACCTTGAAAACGCAAAATCCCTCTATGAAACTCATAAGAACATGTTTCTCTATTTATTTTTCGTGATAAGCTGGTGAAAATAGAACGTTCATCGACTTAGCTCAATGAGCGATAGTGAGTCATATATGAAGAATTTCCAAGTAGCGAAATAAATGATGGAATTTTCCTACCAGCCGTTTGTGTAGTCAGTAAAGAAAGTTAAGTATTGCGTATGTAGTGCGAAAAGTCACCATTTAGATAAGTAGGACTCGTAATGACTCCTACAATCAAAATATTAAACTGCCATCGACCAGACTATCGCTCTGGTGAAAAGGATTGTAGGCTGTTACTTATAAAAGCCACATGCAATTGGTTTGCTTTATAAACTTGGACTTATTAACCTACTAAGAGCTGTCTTTGTAATATCTATCTATTCTGTAGTCAAGTGTGTTATATTACCATTTATCGCTGAATAATATGATTTTATTCTGAATTACAAGTCTAAACTAAGTATTAGCGAAGTACTACTACTACATTATTTGAGAACATGTGTAGTAGTGATAACACTGAGAAAATATATGTTTTATGGCATCTCAGTTTAATTACCATTGCTTGAGACATGATTTTGTCAGCTAATCATAATCCTAATAACCTTGGATAGATTGTTAAATGAACACTTGTATGTATAATGACTAATCTCGAGAACTAGACACTAATCAGTGAGAATGCAATCACAGGATCTATTATCAGGATTATAGCATTGACAACTGAGTAGGTATGTTTTTAAGTGTCATTCGGAATGGACAACCAAGAATCATCAAACGAAGCAGTTTTATTTCACAGCTGAATTTCAACATCCTAAAACGGAATTTGTCATATCCAACTATCGGTCAAGGCAATAGTTTAACCAAAAATTAAAATGAGACTGATCAATTGACAATTTATCAAATTCCGTCAAAGAACCATCATTAGAATACCCAGCAAATTCGTTAGTTTCACGTTTGAAAATCTTGAGAAAATCCACATACCACCTTAACGAATTAGCAATACTGTCACTTAGTTCTGCGTACAGAAAAGCTGTAGTTCACATCCAGTTTTTTCTCTCTTGCTTTGACTTACAGTACTTGACATCACATTAAGAATATAACGGTGAATATGTGGGTAACGACGAGATCGAAGAAAAAAAATCCGAAAACCACGCTATAGCCGCGATCAATATTGAAAAAAAACACAAATATTTAAAAAAAAACGACTAGTATTGTTAGGTGGTAGTAGTAGGGCTATCATCAGTAAAATTAACAATCATCATCAGTACGAGTTAAAGATGCAAGAATTAAACAAGATGTAATAGGATTTTTTTACACAATGGATGCTCATTTTTTTAATGAGCAGCATCGTTTCATATTTATAAGGCACAAATAACAATGGTACGAACAAGAGACTTCGACTTTTCACAGTTAAAAGTTAACACAATTAGAAAAAAAAAGAAAATAGGTAAAAAATATAAAATGAAAATATTAGATGTAAACTGAAATAAAGACAAACAATTTAACAATACTACTATTATTTGTAGTAGTAATAATAGTAGTGATACAGTGTGGCAACAGGAGGCAGCAGTGATAAGATTTATTATAATCATATTAAAAATTACAATAAATGAAAGCAATCAGTACATACGTCAGTTTTATGGAAAAACAAATAGAAAAGAACAATACGGAAGACAATAAACAAATAACGAATGTATTAAACTGACAAATTGTAAATAACATACGAATAAAGAGTATTATCTAATTTTGTTTAAAAATAGTATGATTTACCTACACATATGTATACATACTTTAAATTAAAGAGAAAACAAATATATGCGATGTTGATGAAGAATAAAACAGCAGTATAGTTTGAAATAATGACTGAAAAATTGAAAAAAAAAATAGGATAGTGAATATAATTAAAGAACATAAAACAGTGTACACAACATCACAGCTTGTTCCCCTAGAATTATTACTAAATTTATGCTTATCTTTTGAATATAATACGGAGAAAGAGAAACTATGGTCAAATAAAGTTATGCTCATTTCTCACTGTACAGAAAAATTCTACATACATACAAATAAAATGAAACGAGAGAAAAAAAATTCAAACTATAATAAGAACAATACATGAATCCATATATGTGAAACGTATTAATTAATTGTTTTTATTTCTTTCTAGATAAGGCCTTGATAGAATTTATTTTGTTTCCAGTAAAATGTATGTATATATATATATATATATATAAAAGAAGGGAAGTAAAAATTAGCAGCATAAAAATAATTCATTGTCATCATCTCTCACTACTATTATTAGTAGTAGTGGTAGTCGTAGTAACTGTAATACTAACAATACAATGTATTAAAAAATTCAACTGAATAATTTTGTATGCACATTTTTAAGAACAGGCAATAGTGTGCCCAATTATCATTATTCTTAAAAATGTTTTGAGATCTTGTGCTTGTGCAATTGAGTATGGTAAGAAAGAGGAAAATAAAGAAAGAAAGTACATTTTAATTGGATAAAAACAAGGTTTTTTTTTTGAAAATGAAAGGTAACAGGAATGAATGGAATTTTCATTTTTGAGGGGGATACAGTAATAATAATGATAATAAAATATATAAATCAATAATAAATAACGACTAGGCGTCAATAATTAATTGTATTAATCAGCTGTTATCATCTTCTACTGCACATGACTCAGTTACACCATTACTATTTGTATCTGGATCAGTGTTATTATTACTGTTCCCATCATTGTCGGCATCATCATCACCATCATCGTTAGGTAGTACAGTACTACTTAACTGGCTGTAACGTACATGATTATGTGTATTTGCAGTATTCAATGTACATGTTGGTGATATTGTGGCAGTGATGCTGGTCGGCGGTGTGTCTACTAAATCATCTATACTTAATCGATATACACGTCCACTATGTAATTTACCATTTGAACAATTCGATGATTTATAAGATGGAACATAGAAATGATTACTACCACCATTACTAACAGTAGTAATACAATCCTCAGTTAGTTCAATATCATTAATCTTTTTATCAATATATCCTATATTTATATTATTGTCTTTAATACGTTTACATTTTAGTGAAATTTGTTCTGCTTGTGGATCATCATCATCGTCCTCATCTTCGCTTTCACTATTTTCTACTTTATTTCTTTCCAATATTGTTGGACTATTATAATATTGATCATGATAATAATTGTGATGATTAGTTAAAGAAGCCATTTGTCGAGCCTTACGCTTTTTAGTAACAGATGTTACAATTTCTTTTGTTCGTTTGTTCGATTCATGATAATTTTGTTTACAACAACAAGAATACATTTGATTGTTTCCACGATGACGACGGCGACGTGCTGTTATAAAATGAGCTACGATGAATATAATTAACAGTATAATAAATATAATACATCCAATCAATAGAATAAGACGATATGGTTGTTTACTGAACAATTCCAATAAGGACTGGTCATTATTATCGACATCTATTATGTAGCCACTTTCTCCAGCTCCAATTTCGTCACCACTTAAACAGATAGCTAGTTAGATGAAATGAAAGAAGAAAAAGTGGAGTATATATATAATAGCAACAAAAATGGTTGCCGTAAAGAACTAGTAATCAGGGAAGTTTGGATTTTATTTTAAAGAACACTTAGATACATTTGATGGTGCTCT